AGCTACAGAGTAAATTTCACGGCATATTACATACACAGGCAATGATGATCTTCATAGTGGACACCACAATGGGACCTGTATTACATACACATAATCAGCCTACAGCATCCATGCATGCAGTGTTTGTTAGAGGCACAGTGACAGTCAGTGTCAGTGTTGTTATACTGAGCATTAAAAGGCTCAAGGGATGACAATGTAGCAGTCTATAATAGCTAAACATGATAGTAAGGTGATGATTAGTGATGAATGGCCTGGTTAGTAGAAAATAGGGTGACAGGTAGAAGGTGGAAGGCTTGAGTACTCTAAATCTACCAGCAGCTTTCCAAAATGACTGATTTATTACTGCTTGTCTTCTTGTTTAAGTTACTTTGTATAATAGCACAATCAGAGTAGGCCTACCCACAGTCTTGATCAGTTTCTAACAACATGAAGGACATTCTTAGAGCAGCGAAGGCCGTTCTTTATCCTTCAGTACATTGTGGTAAAAGAAAAATGTGTTCTTTTTCTAGATGTTTTAAAACTAACAAAGCCTCTATGTTCATGAAATACACAGCTACAACTACTTTATAATGTTGCTCCATGGTGTTCCATTTCACAACCCACAAACAACATTGTAAAAACCCTCAAACTCCCTCAGCAGAGTACCTCATTCCTCCACCTCCACACCTTAAGTTAAACAGACAGTGGATTGAGAACGGATAATGGCGGTTTGTCTTTTTTTCTGTTAACAATATTTACTTCCTGGTTGCTGAGCTCCGGGTCATTGTTATCCTCTACCTCTGAGGCGGCCAGCTCATAACCATCTGGATTCATGGAGGCCAGAATATGGATGCGGGTGTTGTTGATGAGGGCCTGAATTCGTTGGTTCCCCAGATTGTACTCTGAGCACAGGTACTGGGCCAGGTAGATGAGCAGCTGGCGGCCCAGCACCTCGTTGCCATGCATGTTTCCCACCAGCTTGATCTCTGGCTCCACTATGGTTTACAGACAGAAACAAACATGGTTAAAGTTGCATCAACTGATTTTTTTGGTCACTTAGGGCAGCGGAACAAGCCTAAACCATAATTTTTTACATATTATCTCTTCAGAAAGTGATTCGCTGATTTGCACATCCAGCAGACACAAAGCAACATTAGCATTCATTTGGAGTTGTATTTGTGTCCACCTGATAAATGTAAGTCTGACATTCACTCTCCTTTTAGCCCTGTTTTGGACCTGCAACTTTACTGTTTTGGTTCACTCTTACTGCTTTCATTAGCATTGTTTCTAGCACTCAACAAAAATACACTGATAAGCTCACTGTACACTTTAGCCTAGCACCAAAGGGAGCAACATAGCTAACGAACATAGTGGAGCATTAAATAAAGAGACCAGAAAAGGAGAATAAATATTGGACATACATTTGCCAGCTGTCCATAAACACAAGAGTATCTGCTAGATGTGCTCACTACTGTAGTTCACCATATCAACATTAAGGTGATATTACGTCAGTGTTGTGTTTACAGCTTGTTTCCAGTGCCCCAAAAATTGGTTGATGCAGGTTTTAAAATGGGTGTTAGTAATTCTAATCGATATATATGTAACATCAATAATGTAATTACAAGGCTACACGATACTAACATTATCACAAAATGAATATACCCCACTCTTCCTTACTCACATAGCTCGTGCTGTCCTGGGTTGTTTGTGAACTCAATAACCAGCAGATCCCTGCCTTCTGTGCTGCGTCCAATGCTGTAGACATTGGCGATATGGGAGCACTTGGCTGCTGTTCTCTTCAGTAAGCTGTACATCTGGGTGTTAGATGTGTAGGTGAACTGAATGATGGTGCTGGGTTCTTCAGGAGAGAGGCTGGACATTGCTAGCTCCTGTCTGGCTGGAGGAGGGATACCAGGAATTATCGAGGGAGAGAAGGATACTGTGTTTGTTTCATGGAGAATTATTGGTCCAAACAGTACAACACAACAGTGTGACTTTTACCTTTCAGCCCTACCAGCGGGTCAAAGCAGCCCTCCTGTTCGCTGGCAAAGAAGCGGTCACAGTCTAGGAAGTAGGGCCACGCCATATCGATGGCTTCAAAGGCATGGATACAGTCTTTCCGCAGTGCCTCGCATGTGCTGCGACAGGGTTTGATCATCTTGTCATTCTGGCAGGGAGAGGCGAGTACCGAGCAGCCTAAGAGACGTATCTCAGGGGAGCACTCCCCGTTCAGCAGGCCATGGATGACGCTCAGGAGGAGGTACTCTGCCCCTGACTCTGCCTCAAAGCGATTTCGGTGGCCAAGGATGTTGGGAAACATGGTTCTGGAGGGGCAGCATTAATCAAAAGTTGTCAAACATAATGCCCACAATCAGCTGTGAGGAACTTGTGAAGAAAACTGAAATCAAAAGATTAACAGCAATGGTCTAAAATGCACAGTGTGTATGGTTTAAGTTTTAATCGGGCGTGATTGCCTCGTCCACAGTATTACCAACCTCTACAACCCACCTAGAGTATTCCATATCATTACAGTAGCCCAGGTTAATCTCTGAGCAGGTAGCTGTGGGAGAGAGAGGGCAGAGAAAGCTGGTAACTTCATTTATAGTTTAGTCAGTAAAAAAAGATTTTCTTTGGTTGTTGTAATTTTACTGCTGGATCAAGAATAAAAGTTGGACTCAAAAGTGCTTCATCTTTTTATGGCTCATGCTAAAAGATCTGTCATGTCTTTAAGAGAGGAAATATTATCAATTTTTTTTTAAAATGCTACACCTTGGGCTGGTGTAGCACTTGCTGGCTCCAAACGGAAAAGTACAGTATTTTGAAACTCCATAAATCCTCCCACTAAGGATTTGAGTGCTGGAGTGCAACAGCTCACTTTTCTCTGAGCAACTGGCTATCAGGAAAGGAGGCCTGTTGCATCTTGCAGTGGCGCTTGGTATTTCAAATAGTTTGGTTTTCCAGCCCTGAAGGTCAGGTCATGGCATGAAAGCTCATCCATAGTCCTCTTTTTCTATGTAACATGCCATCTTACAGCTTACAGCTCTGATCCCTTTCTGTACCTGCAGTATAAAATATGGTCTCCAAAATCCATCTACAGATATGATTTAATGTATTGTAATGTGATGCCCTAAATTGCACAAGGTGAAATGAATTTGCCACGTACGTTTTTCTTCAAAAGCGTTGTTGCTGCATCTTCCTGTCAGAGAACACAAGCCGAGCGACACACATAAAGAAGCATTAGTGGGTAACAAATAAAACGCTAGGAGGCGACATCTTCAAAAACAAAGAGACGAGCCAAAGCAGGGACTCTGCTTTATTACTGTTTATGACGAGGCTGAAAAAACCTGCAGGTGACAATGTGTCTACAACATGAGGTCATGCTCAAATTGTCATGGCAAATAAACTTTACAGGCCTTTTACAACTATATAAGCAAGACTGAGAGAATAAAGAGGGAAAATAAGCAACCGGTATAACTGGTTATTTCCAAGCATTATTTACAGCATGTAAATGAAAAAAGCATATTCCCTGTTAATATTTAAATTAAATTAAATATTTAATATAAGTAAGTATCAATTTTTTTGTCTTAAATCGTCCATATTTCTCATTCAAATGGGTCTTAAAGTTTTCTACGCATCGCGCATTGCAGCCTGGCTTTCATACAGTACCCACATTTCTGCGAACCATTTGTTTCGAGGTGACCTTACCTAAAAGCTCGTCTCCTGGGTGGCAAGTCTGCTGCGGGGCGCACCAGCAACTTTTCGTCAAGGAAAGAAACAGCACGGAAAGTCCTAAACGCATGTTGGAGTGAAGTAAGCTGCTTTTCACAGCGTCGGTGTGTGATGTGGCAGTGTGTGTTTGAAGCTGCAACTTTTCCGTTCTCCAGGCAGGATGATAATTACCACCCACAGCACGGGAACCTCCTTCCTTTGTCTGCTCGGAGCATCCCTGACCCGAAAAAAGTACGGCGCGCCAGGATTATGGCTCACTGCTGTGCGTTACGAGTGAGCGCCGATCATATTACACTGCACAGCACAGCGTGTGTGTGTGTGTGTGTAGAGGGGGGGACATGAGGAAGAAACGTGGCTTGTGGGGGTGGGAGTGAGGGAAGTTCATGCCTGTTTTTGTTTGACAGAATAGGGCTGCTGCTGAGCCTGTTCAGCAGTTCAGTGTGAGAATATCTGCCATTAGTCTTTGAAACGTCTGCGACCTTGAGGTTCCTCGCTGTTTCACTCTTGCAATTATCATCTATTATTAGACTATTATAGGAATTTTTCATGGGTATACAGCAGCGGTTCCCAACATTATCATCTATTATTAGATTATTATAGGAATTTTTCATGGGTATACAGCAGCGGTTCCCAACATAGGGGTTGGACACCCCCAGAAGGTCCCAAAATAAATATGAGGGGTCACCAGGTGATAAAAGGTCCAGTGTGGAACATTTAAGATATATAAATATATATAATGGTAGGGATTGAATATCATATTCATAGGTATGTTTTAATTCCTGATAATCACCTAAAAATAAGAACTATTTTGTGTTTGCTTTTTACCTTAGAAAGAGCCGTTTTTATCTACAGAGGGAGTGGATTGTCTTCTACGGAGTCCGCCAAATTGAACAACCATGTGGACAAACCAAAGCTCTAGATAGGGCCTTTTGCATTTTTGCAAGTTTCACAGCCACCATAGTTTTTTCCTACATGCTTGGAAGGCTGAGCTGTATTCAAATGGTTGCAATCTGCATCTTCACGGCCAGATGCCTCTAAATCCTACACACTGGTCCTTTAAATCCTTTGCCAGAAATGGACTTTTGTCTATTTTCTTCTTCTTGTGAAATACTGGATCCTTTACCTTCATCGGGCATCCTTCAAATGAGACAAATCTGAAAAGTAAAATCAGTCTTGCAGCTCAGAAAAGTTCCACTGCTACAACACAACAATGTTTCAAATTACCTACAGTATCTCAATTACCAGAATGCAATGATTCACTCATAAATAGACTCAAAGTGTGTCTGTGGCAATGGAGTTAATTCTTTAATCTGTGGTTTTGCTGTGATGTAACAATCTTCACACATCCTCACGCCTATTTTTACACTCTGTGTTAAAAAATAAGCTTCAAAAACAGAATAAAACATTTTTGCAGGATTTTTACTGAAACACTAAGACCACTTCCTAAGAAATTAAAGGTTTCTTCAACCATACATTTACATTAATAATAGTAATAAACGATGTGTCCTTGGAAATGCCTCAGCAGGCAAACTGACACGCCCTGTGGAAACAGCCATCTGTGGAGTGTGAAAAGGCCTTTGGCACACATCAGAGCCCAATGTGGTCTCACTGAAGACACATTCTGTCCCCCCTCTGTTGATGGTGTCCAGCTTGAGACAAGCACCGACTCTCTTCCATCTGTGGACCTGCTGCTCTTCAGAGACCCTGACCCTGACGCAGGTGTTGAACCATTTAAATATTTGCACATCAAGCTCAGGTAATTCTGGCAATACAGTTGTCGTCTGTGGTGTCCAGTGTGCTGCTCGTACTGTGGACAGACAGCGAGTACCGATCCTGTCTCCAAACCCGACTGATGATACTAACCAGGACCTTCCTGTACTGCTGCCGCAGCAGACAGTAGACAAATGGGTCGCTGGAGGTCTTGGCATAGGACAGACATCTGGCTGCGATGCCCCAGTATCGGGGGATGTGCACAGAGGGCAACAACTCAACCAACCTGCAGGAGGAATACAAGCAGAAGAAGTCAGTTATGACTTTTTTTCTCATGTTTTTCTATAAAAAAAACACTTGGGTAGAAACTTGGTAGGTGGTCTCTATTAGCTGTCCTAATATATTTTAAATTAATCTAACATATTTTAGCCGATTACTTTAAAAATATAATTGTGACTAAATTCCATCTGTTAGCTATTGGGTGGACACTAGTACTTAATGGTTGCATAAATATGAACAATTGCACAGAATAATGAAATTCATTGCAACATCCCTTGAACAAATGTTACCCTAACCTCTTTATTGTTATGTTGAAATTTTGTATTTCTGGGATGTTGATTTAACCTGATTTTGAGAGTGACAATTTTTTGAAAATTGGTATGTTCAGAATATTGTGTCTAGTCTGTTTGCATGTTACATGTCCAAAAAGGACATAATAATCAATATAAACCCATTACTGTATCACAGACACATTAGACACACAGGAAATGTTACATAGTTTGATGTGGTCAAAAAGTCATGTGGGAAGTAAACCAACTGGCATAATAGCCTGTGATAAAGAAAAGAGACAGAGCAGAGTGTTACCTTGTTATAACATAGGGTGAAAAGCAGAGGAGGAAGGAGCCGATGAAGATGCAGATTTTTTTTGTGGCACGCTGCCTCCTCTTCTTCTGTTCAGCTAAACACCTCTCCTTCACACTGACAGACACAAAGAGACATTCATGTTTGCCATGACAGATAAAACATTAATAATGTAAAACAGTGGCATTAAAAAACATCTTTTGCACAACATTCTAAAACAAGTCAAGTCAAGAATTGAACAGCCTCAAAGTTGTATGCTTTACCTGGGGTGGATATCAACCAGCAGAAGCAGAGTCTGCACTGTGATGACATCTATCCTCTTGCAGTGGGACCTGGCCACTCTCAAAACTTTCAGGTAGGAGAAGCACAGGACGAGGAGGCTGAGCGCAAAGCTGCTGCAGTGGAACAGGGCCGTGAAGGTCGCATAAGCGGCCAGCTGCGACCTCCCCTCTCCTTCCAGATGAACAGTACACGAGGCGTAAGTGTGGCTGTAGCCTCCCCAGTCCATCAGCAGCTGGGTCAGGGAGAAGGTGAGAGACTGCAGCCATGAGTACGCCACCATCAGAAAAGCGTCCCTGTGGCGCATCTTGCTGGAGTAACTCAGTGGAAACACCACCGCTATCCACCTGTCCATGCTCAGCGCGGCCATGCTCAGCATGGCGTTGGTGGTGAGAAAAGTCTCAGCAAAACTGACAGCTCGGCAGAAGAAGTCCCCGATGGGCTTCGCGTTTGTGGCCACTCCGAGAAACGTGGTGGGCATGTTGAACACAGTGAGGAGGATGTTGGAGAGGGAGAGGTTTAGGATGAAGATGCCTGGCACGTGGGCTCTTAACTCGGCGCTCTGGGTGAAACATAGCAGCACTGACAAGTTAGTCAACAGCGAGACAACAGCGATCACCACGATGGACACTTCCAGTAGGAACTCCGGTATGCTCATCTCTCGAGGCTCGGCGTTAGCAGCAGCTGTGGGGAGTAGGATGCTGAGGAGAGTCCGCCGCCATGCCGTGCCCCCACCGGCTGTGACGGACGGTCACTTTGCCCGCGCACAGACAAGAAGCGCGCTTGTGAGTGCGAGATAGGCGGAGAGAGCTGTCCAGTGCTGAAATGCCCGAACGAGCCTTCCTGTCAGTGGCATGAGTCACTTTTAAAACCCATTATATGCTGCTTAAATTAGGGGTTCAGTTAGTGTTGATGGTCTTTTCATTTCTCCAGTAATTACCCTCCTGCTGGTTAGTCCAAAGTGAAATAATGACTTCAGGTCGCCAAGTGCTCTGTGTTTACTCTCGATCATGCGCACTATCCGGCGCCTCCTCTCTTACTGGCAGTGCCGTGCGCTCTGCACGTGCAGTCGGTCGCTGGCTCATGTGACGCTTGAACAATATTCATGCAAGCAGGAGTTAATATCAAAGATGGGGATGTCATGGTGTTTGCACACACGTTTAACGTCTCCCACTAAAATATAAATGTGTTTTTGCACAAAAGCCCTGAGTGATGGCTTAAAATTTTAAATATTATTCATTTGTTGTGTGTGTGTGTGTGTGAGAGGAGAGAAGAGAGAGAGAGACGAGAGAGATAGTTTACACAATCCCTCTTGTTGACATACATTATATTTTTCCTTTAAAAACAACCTTCCCAGTGGATCAAAATTGAGCACCAATAGCAGTTATTGAGCTGTGGCTACAGTGGACAGATTAGTCCCACCCACCCCAAAACAATCAGGTGAAGATCACACAACACACAGAATCATCTTCATAGCAACACCAAATTTCTTGGTGCTTTTAACTCTTTGAACTTCACAATCAATCTTTCTTCAGTGGTGGAATTTTTGTTTGATCATCCTCAAAGATGGCCTTCTAAGAAGCCATTTGCACTACGTGTTTATCAAGAACACACCTTCTTCGAAAATATCAGACACTGTGTTGGCATCATAATACATTACAAATACAGATTGGAGAGAGGAAAGAGCAAGGAGTAATGAGAGGAAGAAGGAACCGAGGCTGAACAAAAAAAATAGATTAAGGGGGAGGAAGGGACATGTTGCGAATGATAGAAAATTAATTGACCCTTCCCCTTCCCAGACATGTCTTACAGGCAGCTTATAGTCTCTTTCCAGGTGTAAAATTATTTTCCTTATACCCATACCCATCAACACTATTATGTTATAGGTTATGATATAATAATAAGAGGTGTTTTTTTAGTGTTATCCCATGTGTGGAATTCAACTATGGAAGTCTTTTTAAGTGTCTAAATTAAGGAACAAAAAGCACACAGAGAAAGAATCAACAGTGGGCACATAACAATATACACTGTTGTAATTTCTTTTTTGC